CGGGGCCCTCTGAACCGAGTGGTTTTGCCACCAAATGGCACCACAGATAGCGGTTATGGCCAACGCCAATACGCTCCTTATTGGCATCAAATCCCTGAGATATGAATCAATAGGATATGATTGATAAGGCACAAAGCCCTCTGTCAGCTAAGGTGGATTCAAATTTGTCCCCTTAGACAAACATCCAACCCAGGTCTACAAGGTCTCCTTGGACGAAGCAACCCATGGCTGCCGACAAGGATCCTTCTGTCAGGTTGGGTCGACTACCTCCTCTGACTAAGTAGACCAGGGACCACGATGGCCCGGGACGACGGAACCATGGGATCTTGATCGGGTCCATCATCCATTCCCCCACCATCCGCTTTAAGTGCTAGATGGTGCAATTTCTATTTTAAATATCAAACCTTTCAAATTTCCAAACTTTCAACCCAAATTCTCAAATCCAAACCCAATTTTCAAATCCAAATTCTACCAATATCCAATCCAGTTCTCCAAATTCCAAACCTATTGCTGCTACTATATGCCAGATAACACGTATCTCTACGTATCTGATCGATGACTAGCCTTAATCGAAAGTTCTCTCTCGTAATCGGGAGGGGTAATTAACTATAGGGGCTTGCGCCTATAGGAAACCAGAACTCAGATCATAAAGTCCTCGCAAAATGAGGGCGAAATCTCTGGGTAGTGTCTTATCTACAAACCCATCTGCCTTCCAAAATTTACCTCGGAACTTAGTTCGTTAAAACTCCCGCGCCGGATAAGAAAAGAGCTAGCGGAGGCCGGGGTGTGAATTTTCGGAGCCCACACTGGTATTGAAGATAAGCCTAGATATAAAGCTAAACTTGTAGATAAGGCTAGATGTAAGGCTAGAGTTGTAGCAAGGATGAATTTGATATGAAGGTATCTACAAAAGATAATGCATCTGATGTGTTGACCAAAGCTCTTCCAAATCATAAGTTTCAACATTGCTTAAACTTGTTAAGGATGGTAAGGGAGAAATCCTAGCATTGGATGTTTATCACATTTCAAATCAAGAGCTAAGGTAGAGATTGTTAGATATTGGTTCTTATTTAATAAGTTATTTTTTGTTTTTAGTTTTATTCTTTATTTTAGGCTATTTTATCTTTTTTCCCCTTTGGGTTATTTTGATTTAAAAGGGGTGCCTTTTATTATTTCAAGGTGCAAATGAATAAATCATTTTAGTTTTTCCTTTTTAAAAGTGAGCTCTCTCCCTCTCTCCCTCTCTTCCTCTCTTACTTTTCTCTCTCTCTCTCTCGGGTGGAAGCCATAAAGAGTTTTTGTCTCTCTCAGTCCAGATAGCAAGTAGGATCCGGCAGGTGGAAACATCATCAAGAAGTTGACCGACAGGTTTAGGGAGGGGAGGAGATCTCTAGTGGAGGTGCAGCTATAGGTGACTGGTGGTGCAAGGACAACATGTGTGAAGGAAGGAGCAAGGGAAACAAGATGCTATTGTAGAAATAAGGTGTAGGACTTCAAGAATCCCTTCCTCCTAGGTTTGTTTTTCAACACTTCTCATAACAACTGGAGTAAAAAAATGCTTGCACCACCCTGACGAGCATCTTTATAACAAATATTTAAATGAATTTGAATGATATGCAAGTGATGAACCCAATCACTTTTGATGAGCTGATAGAGTTGACAAGATTTAGAATAATAAAGTGCAATCATAAGAAAACTTCTATGATATGCATGTTCATTACACATTCAATCAGAGGGGTTATCATTTATATTCAAAATCTTCAAATTGCAAAGTCAGGTGTTTCAAACACACACCTCGATGATGCCCGCGTTGAATAAGAATCTCAACTAGGGTGGATATTATTATCCAAATTTTTCTAAACTCCAAAATAAATCATTATGTGGTTGAAAACTATATAAAAATATAAAAAATATCAAATAAATGTAAAATATAATAAAAATATTCAAGTGAAATATACTTTCTCAATGCTTAAAGAAACAACCCATCCACTCTCCATAATAATTTTATAATAATGATAGATTTAAGATTAACCTCAATTTATAAAAGGACAAGATCCTATCAAGTTTATTGCTATTGTTACTCTTAAAAGATCTCATGCAAGTAAAAATATGGCACATGTCCTTTAAACTGGTGATTTTTCCATCAAATGGATTCACTAAATAATGATTTTGACTAGGACCCTCTGACTAGGTAGTTTCACTATAAAATGAAACAATTATGTTATGGTTATGACCACTGTCTAGATGTTTTCCAATGGCTTCAACTTCCTTGAGTTGTAAATCATATGATGAACTTGATAGGGTGGAAAGCTTGCTATTACCTAAGGTTGACTTGAACTAACTCTTTAGATAAACATTTGCCCTTGCATATAATGATTCCTTGGATGATGCAACCCATAATCTCGTAATTTTTTTTTTGTTAAGGTTGGGTCGACTACTTCTACTGACTAAGTAGATCATAACAACCCAGGATGATGGAATTATTAGATGTTGATCAAGTTTGTCATCATCTTTCCCCCATCCACTATGCGTTCAAGGTTGTAAATTTTATTACTCATAAAATCAAATTGTTGTGACTAAATGCTAAGCATTTAGTGTTTATGGATTATCCTTAGTTGAAACTTCTCTCTCATCACTAGAGAGATAATGATCATAGAGGCTTGAGTCTATGTGAAACCTAGAATCAAATTATAAAACATTGCAAAATAAGTGTGAAATCTCTAAATAGTGTCTTATCCGCATAACATATAGTGCCTTTTAAAAATTTAACTAAGACAGAATCTCTCAAAAGAAATGGGCGCTAATTTTTGGAGTCCACCTGTACATAGCATGTTGTGTATAATTTTTACTATTATTTCTTATTATTATGCCCATATCTCATAAACTAGAGGTAACAACCCACGTCATGGTTAACAAGCTCCTTTGCAAACCACATCCAAAACTAACTAGAATCACGGTTACACCTTGTACAATCAGTTCTCCATGCATGAAGAAATTTAAAAAATTCATACTCAGCAAGACAAGTTAAAGAACCAACAATAAAATATCGTTTTATGAATAAAACAATTGATTTTATACAACATATTTGTGCAGATTCAACCGGATGACAGGATTATGCAGATTCAACCGGATGACAGGATTATAAAATACCGAATAATAATAGAATTCTACTCCAGAAGTTAAAAAAAAAAATACTCCAGAAGTTAAATAAAATTAAGCAATTTTCAAGTCATCGAGAATTAAAGCAGACAATGAACAGAACAATCATTAATTTCCAATGTTTCAGATAGAGAGTTTACAGACTGACTAAATGAAAAAGAAAAACAATCAAATCAGAGGCAAACATTTATACGCAACTAAAACAAGTGCAGTGGACTTTGAACGGCCAGTATTTCACAAGAAATAATAAGCACGGATGCTGACATATGTTATTTTTCTGTGACAACAACTTCTAGACTTGTTCAATGTATGCTTTGTTTACGTATTTATTTTTTTAATTTAACATTATCATCATTTTTTTTTGTTATTAAGTTTAGTGATCTTCTGGATTTTATTTGAACTGCTCCATTTTGTCCATAGTGACTACTTTATTTTCATTACTTTATCTGCATTTTTGTTTTAATCAGGTGTGCTGCTAGATGATCTACTAGCTGCTGAAGATCTAGCTGCTGCTGAGACAACAACTGCTGCTTCTCATGCTGCTGCAGTTGCCGCTGCCAACATACAACCCGGGAGATCACCTGGAGGATATACATACTCAGATGAAAGGGAAAGGCAGGTGATCCCTGAGTCAGTTCCTGATGGTTCAGTAGTCCTTGGTACTCCTGTTGCTCCTCCTGTCAATGGGGACATGTATACGGATATCAGCACTGAAAATGCCATGCTTCAAGGAACAAGGTATATGATAGGAAACACTTGTAGATCTCATGTATTTCCTTTCAATCTTCTAAAAACAGCTAGAATTCTCCACAAAAATCCACACAAAACTACATTTGTATTATTTGATGAAAGGGAAACAGAAAATGCCAAGATACAATTTATCCTCTATTCGAGAGGAGGATCTTTCTCTCCTAAATCTCTAGACACCGTTGGAGCCCAAAGAAACTAAGAGATCTCAAATTTCAACCAAATTCAAGATGCCCTAACCCTAGGAAAACCGACTATTTAATGCATACAATTCAAAAGAAAATATCTAAACAGTCCCTACATTCAAATTTCCCTCCCAAATTCCTCAAAAATCCTTCCAAAACAACTCCCTAACCCTTGCGTCTTTCGTTCGGCACGTATAGGAGGCGGACATTTCCGCCTTTGTTTGAGTAAGCCAGTCCCTTCAGATCGGCTAGACCGGTCCAATGGACCAGTCTAACAATACTCCCATCGCAATGACCCATCTTGTACGCAAGGTGGAAAGACGACACCACCCTCCATTCCTTCTTTATCACAAACAACAAGAACTTGAAGAGTTTAGTCCTTACACCTATGCCCTGGCATATACATCTCATCACATCTGAAACACCCTTCGCCCTTTTCTCTTGTAATTCCGTTTATGTGAGCTTCTTGAAGTTGCCCCAAGGTCTTACTCCTACTATCTTCTCGTTTGAAGTCTCTCGAAAAGTACTTGGTGTCGACTCCTTGGGTTTCAGAAAGGTGGTGGTCCTGTTCAGACCTCCTGAGCTCCTTCCTCCCATATCTCTATCCAGGTGCTTTTGATCCTCCACCAATTGAGCTAGCTCCATAGCCTCTCCCAAGTCATAAGGTCTCTTTACTCTAACCGTTGCCCGGATTTTTGTTGTCAGTCCTTTCATGAAATTTTCCTCTATCACTGTCTCAGGAAGGAGGTCCAATCAGCTAGCAAGGTACTCGAATATCTCCCTGTACTACATCACTGAACCATCCTATGTTAAGGCGAACAACTGCTCGTAGAAGTCTCCTCCCCTGCTAGTTTGGAAACGTTCCATCAAATGGAAGCATGTCCCTCCATTTTTACCAAAACAAAGCCTTCCCTTCCAAACATAGACCCGCTGCCATCAGTCTCTTCTCCTCCGTTAACCCATTGACAGTGAAATATCTTTCTACCTTGTATATCCACCCGTATGTGTCCTTGCCCTCAAAGATTGGCATCTTCAACTTTCTCACCTTCGTGTCACCCCGTTTTCTATGAATCCTCCATAGCCTCTTATTCCTCGAAGAGGAGGTCCCCCCAATCGTAACGCTCTTCCCTTCGTCGCTCATACCCAAATATTTCCTCAAAATCTCCTCTTCTTATTTCAAAATTAGCACCCCGACGATCGAAATCATCCGCCTTCCTTACAAATTCAACATCCCTTCTTGCATAGCCAATGCTCGTCTCCTCCCAGAAAGTTTTTCTAGGGGAGGTATTCCGTCTACGCCCTCCAGGATATTCATTTTGGGGTTTTCCCTTCCCCTAAACATGTTAGGGTTCTAGGGGTGTAAGCGAGCCGAGCCGGCTCGTGAGCCGAGCTTATCGAGCTTCGAGCACGAGCTTGAGCTCGTTTATTAAACGAGCTCGAGTTCGAGCTGGTTCAGGCTTGGCTCATGAGCTCGCGAGTTGGCTCAAAATTATTTAAATAATTAAATTAATTAGCGAACATATTTTTATTTTAAAAAAATAAATATGCTAGAGGAGTTTCGGCCTATAGTTTTTAAAAAAGGATGCCTATTCAATAAAAATATACCTATTTCGGCCTATATGACATGACTTCCTATATAATAGGACAACCTATATCTCATCTTCATTAATATATGAGAGAAGTTTTAAAAAAGTATGAGTAAAAACTATTAGTTGCTTTCCCAAAAAGAGTTGTTGCAGGTTCATGCTAAAAAAATCATAGTGTTTCTACTTTTTGAAATACAAAAGGACAAGGCGGCAAAATGAAACATTAGGTGGGAAAAATGAGAAAAATGGGAAATCTAATCATAATCAAGTAGCTTGCGAGCCGGCTCGAGCTCGTTAATAGTGTGACGAGCTCGAGTTTGAGTTCGTCTTTTGAGCTCGACTCGAGCTCGAGCTCGAGCTTCCTTTCCGACTAACGAGCCGAGCTCGAGCTCGAGCTTCCTTTCCGACTAACGAGCCGAGCTCGATAGTGCCAAAACTCGACTCGTTTACACCCCTATAGGGTTCCCACCTCTTTCATGGCTACAAGTAGTTTCCTTTGCTTCCGATGTCGCCGGGTTGGGTTTGGCTTCAAGCAATTTTTTCAACATGTATTCCACTACGACAAACTTTCCCTCCATGCTTTCATTGACGAATGCGATTTGATTTTGAAAATCAGCAATCTGCCCCTCAAAATCTGCTTTGAGTTGCCCAAGTTTTCCCTCCAAAACTTTCACTTTCCTTCCGGCCCTTGGTTCCCCTTAGATCGATGTGCTCTGATACCAATTTGATAAGAAACACTTGTTGATCTCAAATATTTCCTATCAATCTTCAGAAAACAGCGAGAATTCTCCACAAAAATTAATACAAAACCACAAAACAGTAGATAATTTGTATTATTTGATGAAAGGGACACAAAAAATACCAAGATACAATTGATTCTCTACTCGAGAGGTGGATCTTTCTCTCCCAAATCTCTAGATGCCGCTAGAGCCCAAAGAAACTAAGAGGTCTCGAATTTCAGCCAAATTCAAGATGCCCTAACCCTAGGAAAACCAACGATTGAATGCATACAATTCAAAAGGAAATCTCTAAACAGTCTCTACATTCAAATTTCCCTCCCAAATCCCTCAAAAATCCTTCCAAAACAGCTCCCTAACCCTTACGGCTTGCGTTCGGCGACCCGTCTAACAATATACTAATGAGGATACGCCTGAATCAAGGCTTTGATGCATAATTTGTGCCAACTACCTTGACTTATTTGGACTGTGTTCGTAGGTACTATTTCATACCTGATAATTTATCATCATTATTATTATTAGGCTATCCCAAAATTTAAGAAATGGACCAGATCATATCCTCAGAAACCCAAGTTTATATGCTTGAATTACCCATTATAGCCTTTCTTGATGAAAACCAATCGTGAAACTTGGTGCGGGGTTATGTCCACCTGAATAGCACTAAGAGAAACAAGGAACTTGTTGTTATCTTTTGAGCTTAGATTCTAGTTGACTTTTTCTATGCGATGCTTTATACAAATTATATGGATATTGGAACAATTGACAAAAGTATTGGTTTGGGTGTATGCAGGAGATTGAGCAAAGGTGTAGAGTATTTGGTTGAAAACTCAGCGGCAGAGGCTGAGGCAATAAGTGCTGCTTTGGCTGCTGCCAAGGCTCGTCAAATAAATGGTGAAGTTGAGCAGTTGGCTGAACATGATGGCGGTCCAGAGGCTACTCCCAGTGGGAAACAAATGCCAGATTCGGTAAAAACATCAGATTCTTCTATGCCAACTAATACCCCAACACTTGGGGTTCGGCTACATCACCGTGCGGTTGGTATTTTTATTATTAAGCCTGGCCAAGTATAATTTTCTGATTTTATGGAAGATTGTTTAAAACAAAAAATTTTAATTTCTTAAACGTGCACAGGTTGTTGTAGCTGCAGAAACAGGGGGAGCTTTGGGGGGTATGGTCAGACAACTTTCCATTGACCAGTTTGAGAATGAGGGAAGAAGAGTGAGCTATGGAACTCCGGAGAATGCTACTGCAGCTAGGAAGTTACTGGATCGTCAAATGTCAATTAATAGTGTACCCAAAAAGGTCATCATATAATACCAATCAAGAAATCAGTATTTTGAGATTATGCACATATCATGAATTTGTTTATTTTCTATGGAAAGATGCTTTGAATTCGGTATATTACTAAAAAGCAAAGAGCAGTGGAGTTTATTGATTTTTTTTCTTCAGAGAATCAGAACTAAATATCAAGACTTACAGTCATACCAGCATTCTTTCATGCATTGTTTTTGTACCTTCATGCATCTGGTTTAACTTGATGCAGGTCATTGCACATCTTCTGAAGCCCCGTGGTTGGAAGCCTCCTGTACGTAGGCCATTTTTCTTGGACTGGAATGAAATTGCAGATCTCTGCGACAGTGCTGAACGAATATTTTCCAGTGAACCAAGTGTCTTGCAAATTAAAGCTCCTGTTAAGATCTTTGGCGATTTACATGGCCAATTTGGTGATCTCATGCGCTTATTTGATGAGTATGGCGCTCCTTCAACAGCTGGAGATATAGCGTAAGATAATAACCTTTTGCCTTTTACTGGACATACTAAATTGGTTTTTATATGGTCTTTTACCAATGAAATGATACCATGATGTCCCCTAAAATGATTCTGATATATAGTACAATTCTAATTTATTACAGTCAAGGTCTGTAATGATAAGTTATTCGCCTATATGTGATGCTTTTTAGAAAGTCTTGGCATGCTATATGCCTCTTTTAAAGGTATTTATAGTAAAAGCATGCTGTGTAATTTGTGTTTTACTTGTTTCCATCCTGGTATTGTCAATTTATTTAGCGGATCTATGCTCTAATTTATGTTATGAACCATGCATACAGACAATTTTAATTTCTTCATTTAGTTCTTGTATTTTTTTGCTGCAGAGCTTTAGCATGTCACATAGCTTAATTGGCATGGCATGATCGATAAAAAATAACTGACATGAAACTCTATATATGTATATTGGTCTTGTAGGCCCCATAAAATTTGGTAATTTTTGTATTTTCAACCTAAAGTCATTTTCTATTAATAGCAAAGGCACATGTACCCCAAGCGCATGTTAGAATGATCGATTATATTTATGAATGAAATTTAACCTAATAAGCTGAAAACAAAGTAAAACTTTTAATTTTAATATTAATAGATAGTTCAAGAAAGTCATCAATGATCATATAACTTGATATAAAATTGCCTTTTTTGCATATAGGAGGTAAGGGAGGTTAAGAATTAATTATCAAAGAGTAGATTAAATATATTTTGGAAAGTAATGACAATATAAGCATATCAGACTCAACTTTCTGTCCTTCATGCTCATGGCTATGCTCTTTTGGACGAGTCAAATGCACATCTTACCTCCTCCACTGATTGCATGAAACAGCCCTTAGCAAATGGAAAGAAGAAAAGAGCAATGTCCACTACACAAAATCAACGAGCTTCAAGAAATCATCGAAGTTTACCTTCTTTTGATTCTTTCATGTCTTGGCTTCATAGGCAAATCGTTGGCGGTGGAGATAGGAAGGACGATGGGAGAAAGGAACAAAAAATCAGTGTTGCAGTGCTTTTTATCTTGTTGAGGGAAATGAAGCGATCAAGCATATTTTCTAGCATTAGTGGTTATTTTTGTAAGAAAAAACAGGATCTAAAAACAGAACCAAGCACGCCAGACATTTTTTTTTTAATTGCTAAAGTTTTTTTTTTAAACAGAAATCTCCTGAATTTTCTTACTTTGTGTTGGGCTTACCTTGCATGTTTTTTTCCCTATTATTCATAATTTATTTATTTTGGAGGGAAAATTTCATAATTTTCTCTTTCTGTCTTGTGATTTACAGTTATATTGATTATCTCTTCTTAGGAGATTATGTTGATCGAGGTCAGCATAGTTTGGAAACTATTAGTCTTCTTCTTGCCTTAAAGGTATAGTTCATCTGAAGAACAATCTTTTTTAACATTCTCAACCTTAACTTTTGGGACATCTTATATGATAAGTTTTATGCTGCAGGTTGAGCATCCTCATAATGTACATTTAATTCGAGGGAACCATGAGGCAGCTGATATTAATGCATTGTTTGGTTTTCGAATAGAATGCATTGAGCGAATGGTAGTAAGATTACCGCGGTTACATTTCTCTTCAATGTTGTTATGATGCTGCAATTTTTTCTAAAACACACATTGTGGTTTGCTTGCATTTGGTAATAGGGAGAACGTGATGGAATTTGGGCGTGGCAACGTATAAATAGATTATTCAATTGGCTTCCTTTGGCTGCATTAATTGAGAAAAAAATTATCTGCATGCATGGTGGCATTGGGCGGTCCATAAATCATATAGGACAGATTGAGAACCTACAACGTCCAATTACAATGGAAGCAGGATCTGTAGTTCTTATGGATCTTTTATGGTATGTCCTTACCCTATTAAATTGTCATTTGTCTTATATCCACGCACAACTTGGTATGCTTATTACTATCTTTTTTATGTAGGTCTGATCCAACAGAGAATGATAGCGTTGAAGGCTTAAGACCAAATGCTAGAGGCCCCGGTCTTGTAACTTTTGGGGTGAGCTTTCCATCTATTCAATAGCCTTCCTTAATCTTATATTATTCTCATAGCATTCTGATGGACTAGCAGCTGAGTTGGTGGGGCTCAAAAGTAGATTAGTTCCACCTTTAATTATTTATCATAGAAAACTAAAATCAGGAGGGTCTGGGCTCCAAAAATTCGGCCCCAGCCTCCACCTGCTTGCTTTTCTTTTGGGGGAGTTTTAACGGAATTAAGTTACAGGGTAAATTTTTGAAGGCAGATGGGCTTGCAGATAAGATACTACCTAGAGATTTCGCCCTCATTTTGCGAGGACTTTATGATCTGAGTTCTAATTTCCTATAGGCGCAAGCCTCTATAGTTAATTATCCCTCCCGATAACGAGAGAGAACTTTCGATTAAGGCTAGTCGTCAATCAGATACATAAAAGATACGTGTAATCTGGCATATAGTAGCAACATGGGTTTGGAAATTTGAAAATTTTGATATTTAAATTTGAAATTTTACCATCTTTCACTTAAAGTGGATGGTAGGGGAATGGATGATGGACCCGATCAAGATCCCAGGATTCATTTATCCCGGACCATCGTTGTCGCTGGTCTACTTAGTCAGCGGAGGTAGTCGACCCAATATGACAGAATGATCCTTATCGGCAGCCATTAGTTGCTTTGTCCAAGGGTATCTTGTAGACCTAGGATGAATGTTGTCTAAGGGGACAAATTTGAATCCACCTTAGCTAATAGAGGGCTTTGTGTTCTATCAATTATATCTTATTGATTCATATATAAAGGATTTGATGCCACTAAGGAATATATTGGTTCTAGTCATAACCGTTATCTCGTGATGCCATTTGGCGGCAAAACCACTCTGTTCAGAGGGCCTCGGGTTATAACCGTTTATCCTGCGGTGCCATTTGGTGGCAAAACTGCCGGTTAGAGGACACGTACCACGTCCTTACTGATAGAAGATTATTTGAGAATGGATCTTAGTGATATTTTTGACTAGACATTAGCTCTATGTGAGTTGAAATAAATTTCAATTTGTACCTCGACAGACTATTGCGGAGTGTGGATGAATTTTGCTTTAAGTTATTTGATGGATTATTTCAATTTAAAATATTTTGGATTTTAAGATTTTAGAATTTGAATTTTGTGGTAATATGGAAGTATTTGAAATTGTTTGTGAACCCCTCCGGTTGAGATGAACATTCAACACGGTCATCATCGGGGGTGTTTTAGGTCATTCCCATTTGTGCATTGAACTTTGTCGACTCTGTCTACTAGTCGACAGAGGATTGGACTCATAGGCTTTATACCTTTGTTGATGAATTTTTCTTGGTTGAAGGCCTTATATGAACGTATAAAATAGATATTCTGGTCGACATCCTGATTATATATCTATTTGATAATTCGAGCCGTGTCGACTCCTATCTATCTATAGAGAAGGATCGAGCTCGAACTACGTTCATTTATTCACCCGCGCAATATCCTTAGACGTCACATATATACCCATAACACGCTCGTCGGGGCCCATGCGTGTGTTTTGGGGCATTTCATAACTATTTTTTGAACCTTCTTGACTCCTATTTACCTGTTTATGAGGATCGAGTTCAAATTTATTGACCTGCACAACATCCTTAGACGTCACGTGTGTGAATACATCACGCTCGTCGGGGACCATGTGGGTTTTGTGATTGCACATGCCCTTTTGTGTACCTACGTGTATACAAATTATGGTGCATGTGCGGGGTCATTCTTGGAATACTTGTAAATACCTTATGTCCGCTTGCATGGATATTACGGATCTAGTGGCGTGGCGTCATATTGTGGTTATTTGTCCGTTTCGTACAGGTAGACTGTCGTGCACTACTTGTATGGTTTATGCAAGTAGATTGTAGTGCACCAACTAATCTCCTGTTTTTAGTCGTAGAGGCCTGCATTTGTTGTTTGTTATTCGTCTCTGCTTGCAAATGATCGACATATTTGATTGACATTTGTTGAATATGAGTGTGCTGTAACAAATCGCAAGTGCCTTGCATACATATACTGTAGGTATACTGCCTTTGGCTACAGAAGACATATTGTATGTACATCTGCATCTTGTGATGTTTATGACTAATCTTCTGTGGCGGCCCATAGTAGTTTGTATTTGATGCATATCATCTTTCCCGCTTGCATATCGTCCTTCTCTAGTTGCAAATGAAATGTTAAATATGAAATGAGTCTTCTTTAGCAACTCGTAGAGGTTTGCATTTGATTACGGTCTCCTGTATCTGTTCGGGGATTTCACTTTGTGTATGTGACAGGTCTCCCACGGTAATTCATAGGAGTTTGCATTTGCCACATTCTTTATGCATTTTGTTGTCGTCTCTGGTCCTTGCAATACATCTGCTATTACATGTGAGATGTATTGCGTGCATCTGTATTCCTAGGGAACCCATATGTATTGCAGATCTTCTAGTGCTACTTGTAGGCATTCACATAACATCATCACATTTATTACGCACTAGCCTCATATCGTAAGAGACTGGTGCATTTATTTCAAACTCATTGAATACATTGCTCGTCATGTCCATTGTGTATTAATTTCTTTTATCAATGTACTTTCTGAACATTGAACTATTGTCGATGACATATATGCCATTATATTTATTCATATTCATCTACCTTGCAAATTCCGTTGTTTGTGCATGCGTCATGTTGAACATTACAAATCCTTTCAGCCTCTTTGGGAACATATTGTAGTTTGCATGATTAACTTGCATCGTTGTTGTTGAATGCTGATTGAGTTATACTCATCAACAATTCCCTTGTACTTACTAAACTCATGGTACACGTATCTTCAGAACTTGTAAGAAATTGTAGTCTTTTAAAAGAGATTGCCACAGGTTAATTGATCTCTATTATTGTATACAATCATTTGCAAGTGTTGTCACGTTCACTGCACATCGATTCTACATTGTAGAAGACCGGTGTATTTACTTGTTTATTGATCGTATCTTTCCCCACAAATGAGCCGTCATGTTTTATGAAAATTTTGTATTCATGCTCACAATCATGTGTGGGTCGTTGCCCTTCTTTGCATATCAACAATCACATCCACTAATAGCTCGCCCTTTTTAATGCTTTCAAGCTTCTCTAACATAGGCTTGTGAGTTGATTGATATGAACACCACTAGTTTCATATTGTTTCTATGTGGATTAGAAGTTCTGCAACATTTTCTACAACCAAATTGCATATTCATATTGCTTGTTGCTTGTGAATGGGATATAAGAATTATCCTTGTCCACTATGCCTCTTCATTTGCTCACAAGTGATTTGTATTTGTAGTCCTTTGGCTCATCACAAGGCTTCACACATTCTTGTGTAATTTAGTTTGCGCATTTCATCGTCTTAGTTCTAGTTCATTGAATTCCAATAGCTTGCAAGCACAACTTCTTATTGTTCAATTTAGATTCAAGTTCAGGTTTGATCTCGAGTTCAAGTTCTAGTCCGAGTTTGAGTAAAAGTTCAAGTCTTTTGCAGTTCGGTTGGGTCCCTTGTCATCATTCACTTGAATTCAAACTTAAGCTCATTGTATTTTGCTTGAGTTTGAGTTCTCTGTTATATGCATTAGAGTGAAATTCACTGATGTACAAAAATTTGCAAGTTTGAGTCCCCTGTAGTTCGAATCAAGTCCTTGCTTGGGTCCAGATTGTTTAATTCATTTTCAATTAGTGTTCAAATCAAGTTCAAATTAGTTCCTTTAATTCCAAGTCATTATTGTTCCAATTAAGATCTTCTTGCTCAAATTTGAGTTCAAGCTTTAGTCCACAGTGCAAGTTCAAGTCCAAGTCCCTTGCGTCATTGAAAATTTCTGCAGACTCCTAGCGTTTCCCCCGCTTAAGGGAAACTATGAGAAACTGGGCCGTCCGACAATGCTACTAGAGTGTGTATGGGGTCTTCAAAAGTACTGGTATAAGAACACAAGTGGCTTTCCCCACCACGCTACAAGAGCGTGTATAGGGCTTACCCACCTCGCCATATGCGTTGCACCAGACTCCCTCCTACCGTGCTACGAGAGCGCGTATGGGTGGTTCTCAGGTCCGCCGCAAACAGCGAAAATGAGATTTTAGGCGATTACCCGCCTCGTCGTAGGCGTCGCATCAGGTCTCCTCCCACCGTGCTATGAGAGGGCGTATAGGGGGTTTGTCGGTTCGCCGCAAACGACGAAATAGGGAATCTGAGTTTTAGAAATTTACACCTTTAAGGTCAGTGGAGATTGCAAAATTTACATGAAGAAAATCCTCTCTTTTTTGTATATTTTTTTCCTCTCTTTTTTTATATTTCTTTTTTTTTTTTTTAATATATGTACAAATATGCTAAGATACAAACATATTTAGACTTGCATGTGGGACTAATAAAATCAACAATGCTGAGTAACTGTTGGGATGTAAAACAAAAATTTAAGTGACATAACTAATCAAAACATCAACAACACTAATTGCTCTGATTAATGTTAACAGCATGTATTATAGAGAAGGTAACTTGCAAAAGGAAGATTGGGATGCAATGAGCCTTTTAGTGGATTTGGTTGGTGCACTGGTTTTGCTTGTGAAATGGCTGCCTAAAGAGAAGTTGTGTGTGGCTTTTGGGCCTTGGAATGACTACTAGAGAATTTTGTTCAATGTGGGCTGATTTGAGGTTTCATGAGGGATTGACTAAAGGTGGACTGGCTTGCTGTTAGGAAATGTAGGTGGATTGAAGCTTCCTAACAGTATATGGGCTTAGTTCTGTGGGCTGTCACATGGGCTTTCTAGGTTATTTTGATGGATGCTGATTTGGAGAGTGTAGTGAGGCTATGTTATGATTGGATTTTAGAAGTAGGATGCTGCCAAGGGCAAATTGTTAGGTCCAGTCATCGGACCTAGAGATACGTTCGGACACCAATAAAATATTATTTTAAGTCAAGCGCGTCAAAAGCGCAGTCAAAGCGCAGTCAAAAAGCGTAGTCAAAAGCTCAGGTAAAGCACACCTAAAACACAGTCAAAGCGTAATTCATGTGGCAAGTTTTTATTGGATGTTCGGATCTATTTTTAGGTCCGGTGACCGGACCTAATAATTTGCTGCTGCCAAGAGCAGCTATCATGGGCTTAGATTTGTGGGTTTCAAGTGAACTTGTAATGGGCTGCAGGATTCAGGTGGGAAGTTGAGGGCATTGGGTTAGGTGAGATGCTGGAATGATTACAACTAAGTACAAAACTACTCAAAGGTTGCTTCTTTTTCTTGCTTTCACGTGGGTAGAGACAAAGATTTTTGTCTCTTTACCTTAAAGCAAGGAGGAAGCGGAGAGGAGTTGTGTGAGCCTTGCTGTTTAAGAAGTCAAGGGAATCAGAATGTTGATTGGAAGAGTGGGAAGGGAAGGATCACGTGTGGAGGAGTTACTGTAATGGCTTAGATGTTGGGATTAGCTTGAAGGCTTACTTGACGCGTGGAGATCAGCTGGGATGGGAGAAAAAGCCAACAACTGTTGCTATGTTTGCTCCACTAAGAGGTAGGAGCTGTTAGGGAGATCTGTTGTAGGAGGGAGCTTTCATGGGCAGGTGTTGGTTTAGGTGGAGCAGCAGTGCTTGTATGAAGGGGAAGAGCTGAGTTTGGTTGGAAAAGGCAGAAGTAGAGGGGCTGTGGCTATGTGAGAGCAGAGAGGGAGTTCTATATTGATTTTTTTTTTCTTTTTTTATTTCCCACTAGCCTGATGACAAGCAGCTGCAGCAGGGATAAAGCAAGATTTTGTGCTGCTGACAGTTAACAGGATAGGATTTGTGCAGGATTTAGGTTCAGTAAATGCAAGATTTGAGCTGTGGATTTGACTACAATAAATGCAAGATTTGAGCTGGATTTTGGGCAGTTTTCCATAAGAATTGTGCAAGGATTTTGAGCAGGATTTTAGTAAGGCAGAGATATAAAAATTTTTGTTTTGTTTCCTTTGGATATTACACAGAAGTAAACATAGGGAATTAGGAAAGTTATTTTAGGGAAAGAGGGTTGATTTGAATTTAGATTTGAGAGGAAATTAGAAAATATTCATTTAGGGAAAGAAGGCTGATTTGAAGTCAGATTTGGGAGGGAATTATGAAAGGTTTATTTAGGAAAAGAAGGCTGATTTGAATTCAAATTTGGGAGGAAATTAAGAAAGGTTTAGTTAGGGAAAGATGACTAATTTGAATTTAGGTTTGGGAGAGAATTAGGAAAGGCTTATTTAGAGAAAGATAGCTGATTTGAATTCAGATTTGGAAAGGAAGTAGGAAGATTTATATTAAGGTTAATTGGATTATTTGATGGGGATTATGTGATTTGTGTTTGTTGTAGTTTTCTTTGGAGTTACTCCTAGCGGTGCCTAGGGTTGGTAGAGAGCCAATCTCTCTCGAATAGTAGATTAACTTGTATCTTGTTTTGTTGTGCAAAAATAAAGATATTTCTCGTTGTTTTCTGTTTCGTTTTCTTTATGCTATTATTGTATTTGCTGTGTGGAGGTTAGATTCTTGTCAAATTGACATTATAGTACTTTTTTGGGACCTATGGAGGCTAATAAAGTGGATGCTTTGGAAGAAAAACTAGAAGAAGTGAGCCAATTCAAATCTGAAGTTGAAGAACAGTTTTCATTCATGGAAGGAAGAGTTTCTAACCTAGAGAACATGATCAAGAAAACATTGGAGTTTCACATCCAACCGACAACAGTGGAAGTTGGAGAGACCCCAATATCAGCACTATGGGGAATGAACGAGTGGTAGAAATATTGAGTGACAAGGAAAATAGGCTATCTCTTGAACCGATAACTAGGAGGGAAATAGGTGAAGAACATGACATGAGGAGAAATTGAGAGGAAGAAATGAGGACTGATTTTTAGAAAGAGAACATTTATGAAAGGAGGAGAGGTGAGAACAATGGAGAGATCATATCAATCGCCACATGGGAGGAGCCGGAGGTGGAAGAGGAAGTTGGGGCGGAGGGGATCTGATAGAGAATGTTGAAGATGCCTGTGTTTGAGGGGGAAGATGCTCATGGGTGGATGTATAGGGTGGATAGATACTTTGCGGTAAATGGCTGATGGAGGATGAGAGACTCACGAAGACAACTTTATGCTTTTGGAGGTGAAGGCCTTGTATTGGTATTAGTGGAGAGACATGAGAGATCCAATCAAATCATGGATGGAGTTCAAAGATAGTTTATTAGAACATTTTCGAACCAGTTGGAGAGGAGATTTTCTACAAGCAGTTTTTGCTATGGTTCAGGAAGGAACAATTATGGATTATCGGGACTTTTGAGCACCAGTCCAGCCAAGTGGGGAGGCTATCTGAGATAGTGTTGGAGGGGAATTTCATGAAGGGACTAAAGTCAGAGATTAGGGTTGTTGTCTGGTTATTGAGGCCACGAGGGTTGGGAGAGGCTATGGAGCTTGCCCAATTGGTGGAGGACACTCACTTGAGAGAAGCAACAAGGGCAACAATTTGAGAGCTTCATACTAGAAATACCCAAGGAGAAGCAGGTTAAGGGACTGTGCCCATTCATAGAGTACGCAAGGATAGGGGATTGGGCGGCATGGGGGAAATTTCAAGCAGTTGCTTGAGATAGAGGTTTAGGAGAAGCGGGTTAAGGGACAATGTTTTCATTGTGATGAGAAGTTTGCACCGAGCCACCATTGCAATCTTGTGATGAGGAGGAGACTATAAAGGAGGTGGTTGAGGAGGAGCATTTGCACCAAGATGTGGTTCAAGTTCATCATCATTCTCCTCATCATCCGGTTTAAACTAATGGCAATAAAATTTATCAATCCTAAAAACCAAAATTCACTACTACCATATGTTAACTATTTAACGCTCGTTGACCAGTCTTAATCGAAAGTTCTCTCTCATCACTAGGATGAGTAATTAATTATAGGGCTTATGTCTATGGGAAACCTGGAACCAAATCCTTACGCCCTTGCAAAATGAGGACAAAATCTTTATTTAGTATCTTATTTGTAATATAATTTGTCTTTTGAAAGTTTAACCTAGTACAAACTCTCTTAGAACAGCCGGATGCAAATTTTAATGGCCTACACATCCCATATTCTTCCAATATGCATGTGATTATTAAATTGGTGGTCTAGCTTCAAATAAACTTAAGCTTATCTATCATTTTTAAAATGGAAGTCCAGCTTCAAATGTGCTAATACTCGCTCAATATTAACATTTGATTGCAAATGTTATGCTGATTTCATTCAAATTACTGAACCAAGTCGATTTTTTTTTGTTATTGCATTGTGCTTTTCAATTTCGTCCACTCTGAATTATATTGGTACGCAACTCTTCTAAAAAGATTAGCCTTTTTTCTGCAGCCTGACCGTGTTATGGAGTTCTGCAATAACAATGATTTACAGCTCATAGTCCGCGCACACGAATGCGTAATGGATGGTTTTGAGCGTTTTGCTCAAGGACATTTGATAACTCTCTTCTCAGCAACCAACTATTGTGGTTAGAATTTTGATTTTTTTGCAGCATTTTTAACTGTATTCATATTATTGGAAAAAATTTTATTCCGGAAACCCTGATAAAAACTAAAACCCTTAAGTTTATACTGAAATGAGTGCAATATTAATTATTTTTGTATTACACTCATCTCAAAGTCAATAAAAAAATTTATAAGGCCTAATATTTTGAATTATGTTATTAGATCTCCCAGCTGATCTCTTGAATGTTGTACAAGTACAGGTACAGCAAACAATGCAGGGGCCATTTTAGTCTTAGGAAGAGATCTGGTAGTCGTTCCAAAACTTATTCATCCTCTGCCACCTGCAATAGCTTCACCAGAAACATCACCAGAGCGCCATATTGAGGATACGTGGATGCAGGTTTCCTTCATTCTCACAAGAAAAAAAAAAAATGCTATTGAGTTATTCGATCTTGTTACTCATGTTTGTATGTTTTTATCTCAGGAGCTTAATGCAAATAGACCGCCGACACCAACCAGGGGTCGTCCGCAAGTCGCAAATGATCGGGTTTCTCCCGCTTGGATCTGATAGCTCCATCCTTCTTTTCTCTCAGATGTTTGTGTAGATGATTGGCTTTTGATTGCCTGGTTATCTTCGATTTTCTTGAAGCTCAAGGGGATTTTTCTCCTCCTTCGCATCCTCCGGCTGCGGCGATCGAGGTTATTGGAGTCTAGAAAGATAGATCAGATTCTCCTCGATTAGTTTTTTGGAAACTGACCCACTGATGATATATTATCAAATGGTTGGCAGGCACAATTTCATTTGAGAGAGCATAAGTTGGGGGGAGAAGTTTCCAGGTTGCCTGTGTATATTCGCCTATTGGCAGAGATAGATATGTATGTGTATGTGTTACTGTTTTTCCTCTCCCCATCTTCATATATTTGATGAATTAGAGGCCTATTTTAATTAGGGTATTCTTTCTTTTTTTTTTTTTTTTGCCCATTTTCACATTTACATGTTATATTTTACAGCTGGTGCTGTCTCTTGTATCATAGACAATTGGTAATCTTGATGCACATTTCGTCCTGTATCTTTTGCTGTGCTGTTATGTACATTATATTTTGTTTTGTCAGTGTGTGACAGATTGTTTAGTGTTGAAGACATGGTTTGTTACTAGCACTGTTTAGTTTATTATCTCATTACTCAATATATTCATTACTGATCCAGTTCAGTTCTTCAGTGTGGGGTTCTTTTTTTTTTTTTTTTGTTCAGCTTATTGCTTTAATCAAGCTTTTTGACGTTAAGCCTGATGCTGTTTCAAAGAAAGTTTTATGATTCTTTTGGGACAGCTTTTTTACCTTTTTTAAAATAGTTTTTTTTAATATAAAAATTTTTTAAACAAAAAATTTTTGTATTAAAAAGTTATTTTATAAAATAGTAAAATAGCTGTTACAAACAAAACTTTATAAGTTAAAATTTATGAAAAATATCATTTGGTTTAATGCTCTTTGGTGACATTATTTTGATAGATGCAATGGAAATGCAGAAAGTGATGATCTAAAGCTTATGAACCAAAGATTGCAGTTTAATAATCAGTGAACGAAATTCGATTTTATGTTTATTTTTGAATTAAAATCGCAGTTGAAAGTATAGAATATAGATCTTACGGTATTGGAAATCAGGAGCTTTGCTGGATTCTTACGCTTTCATCGTCGTTGCTCTCAGCTCTTTTCTTAATGTAATGTGAAGTTCTGGAGCCTTAGAGCATCTTCAATCAAACGTCAAACGTGCGTATGGCGTCGTTCGGTTGCTCCAGCCGAATGTCAAATCTTTCGCTATTTATTTGCGGATGAACAGTGCGATGCCAATATTGACGTTGCACTGTTCACCTATGCTATTATTTTGCTCTCTATCGGAAAAACATACAAAAGGGAGAAGGATCATTACCTTCGCAGAAGCACTTAAAATGTAAGCACCACGACATTTTGGAGTTTTGCTATATTTTGCCGTGAAAAATGGAGTTCTCCCTTGGAGATGCCCTTAGTGAGTTCTGTTGAAAGCAAAATCCTTGACACGTGGTTTAGGGGTTCCAAGTGCTTTATTTTGAGTTTTGAACTAATTTCAGTTCATTTTATTATATATATAATATATATATAGTATCTACTCTGTCATTTCCCACCTTTGCTTTTTGTCATTGCGATCCCATTGCAAGTCACTATTACCTGTTATTGTTGGCCACCAATCATTATCATTATTAAATTTTCTATTACTCTCATTTTATTTTATTCAAAATAAATAAAAAATATGTTTACTTAAAATTTATTTTACACTCATCCAAATATTTTAAATAATTTATAGAATTTCATACTATTCACTTTTACTCTCTGTTCCTTTTTACGCAAAACATGTATTTGATGGGTGTTGCTTTCCATGTCATTATAGAAAATATTTGAGAGATTTTTCTCTATCTGCTTTTCAATAATTGTCACTAAGATTTCATTTGGGATGATTTTTTTATTGCTTCTTGAATCAGCTTTTTAGTACAAAATTTTTTAATTTTTGTATTACAAAGTTGCTTCACGAAACAATAAAACAACCGTCCCAAACGAAACCTTAAAAAGAAGATCGTAAGGTCTTTGAAAACTGCAAGCCATTAACAAGATATTATCGAGAGGTGATTGAAGCTTTATTTGAGACGACTTTTTTTTTAGTTTTTAAAATAATTTTTTAATATAAAAATTTTAATTTTTTTTTTAAATTATTTTAAAGAACAGTAAAAAAAATCATCTCAAATAAAGCTTGAATGAATGTCTACTGCTCATGCCCTGACCATATCAAATGCACAAACAGGCCGTTTAATTGCCATTATTTTCAAAATTTTGCTTATACATCAGAAACACACTCTAGTGCACAAATCTTAAAGAAAGGAAAGCCCATAAAATCCCACATCATCAATACACTAATTCATAATTAACTGATTTCTAAAATAAAAACCAGCTAATATTATACTGTTTTAATTCCTATAACTACATATTAACATAGAGCTAGTCTAATAGACCAATTGCTAAAAGAAACTCCTGTACATTCTCTAGTTCCAGATCAAGTTGCTCTTTTTACTATCATAAGCTTAGGATTAGCAGCCATGGTGGAGCCAACTACCCAGAATCATCAGTGTCATCACTATCTTGACTTGAATTGTTGCTTTCAACTTCATCACTGAGATTATTGTCATCTACATCACCGCCGTTGTTCTTCGTCGGATCCGCATCACCGGGCAGAACTAAATTTCTCCAGCTATTGTTCTCCAGCTCGAGCGATCCAGGATTCTCGAGCCAGTCTGCGGCGGCAGAACGCAGTCCATCGCAGCACATTGGATCATATTCATCTCTCATAGAGGTTTTGCTTCCTGATGATGTGGCAGAGTGCCTGCAAGGGTGTGGAGATTTTAAGAACCAAGATCATTTTTTATGCTAATGTAAATCCAACTATATAGTGTACACATCTAAGGTATCAAAAATAGCTGGAATAACCCCTAAACTTTCTTATTATATATATAACAAAACAACTTTTATCATGAGGGAATAAAATAAGTGTAACATCAAGCAATTGTATAAGATTATTACATTAAAAAAGCTAAATATTAAATACATCGACAATGCCAACATGTGATGACAAAATAAACTCTAGAAGAGATATCTAAGAGTCCAATGAATTGACAAACGGAAAATTCAGCACTAAAAACAAAAGCAACCATTTAAAAAACGACCAAGTTTGCTAGTTTAACAAACTAAGGCACAACATGAACTGATACCAGAGAATAAAAAAATAGAAACTAAACATATCAAACAAATGAAGCATGGTTTATGGAGAACAAAAATGGAAACTAAACCAATCTAGCAAATGAAACATGGTTTATGGAGATTCCAGAGCTTACCTTTGCATAAAATGCAAGTTGTAGCGGGCAAAAGTAAGATCCTTCATTCTCTCAATTTCCAATTTGTTTGTGTGTTTTATTTGTATATACTCATTCTTGAACAAATTTTTCTGAGATGTCATTATTGTGCACGTCTGGCTCAAAATCCTAATAGCAAAGCGCTGAAGGTCGGGGTAGTCTGATGCATAAAGAGACCACCAGGTGGCTGGATGCAGAGTTGCAGACACCATCAATGTCTATGTATAAAAATCCAAACATAATTATTCAGAAAACAAAGTGTATATTAGAAAAAAAAACGCTACAATCCTGGCTCACCTGGAGATAGCGTCTCTCTACCTCTTATTGCTACAGGTCTACTGAAATCTCCAACAGCATCCTCATAGAAAGACTTCTGTCTAGTAATGTTATCTTGAGACAATAAATTAGTCTCCAGTGTCTCAATACAATCAAGTAGACTCTTATGAATAACATTAGTGATGAAAAACCCTGAATTATAATAAACAGAAGGATTAAGATAATAAGCAGCAAAATGGAGAGGGCTATGAAGCTCTTCCCGCACTTTGTCAATGACGTCTAAGTATGAATGATAATCAGATTCTTTGTCATCAAATGCTGAAATGATTCCCTTCCTGGCCTTTTCCACTGAATCATAGAAATATCCCATACTGGGTCTTTCTTCACCATCTACTTGGTGTAGAACTGCAAGTAGGGGTTTTATCACTTTCATGATCCTTGAACATGATGACCAAAATTGTAGATCTAACAAAATATCAATCACTTCTGAACCCAACTTCTGTTTAGATAAAAAAGGTTGCTCCCACGAAGTGCTTACAAACACCTGCTGAAGAGGCTCTTTGAGAGCGACCATGTTGAGCAGAGTAGAAAACTTTGCTACAAACTCGGTCGCAGCATTCTGAAATACCTCTTTTCCTTCAGTTTTCTCTCTCAATGAGTTGAGGATCCAAACATTATTGTATGTAACTTGACAGATCTTCTTCATCTTAGCCATTATGTCTTTTACCTCATCCATCTCCGCTATGGCATTCAGGATCAACTCAATGCAGTGATTAGCACATATACAGGAGAAAAATGTCTGATACTTGTTCATTAGAATCCTAGCAGCAGCCCTATGGCTAGGTGTTGCATCAGTAAGAAAATTTACAACATTTCGTGGGCCTACCTCCTGTATGATGCTGTCAAACAAATTTGAAAGACCTTCTGAAGAATTTTCATACCCTGATGCATCCACTGAGCTAAGAAACACAGTACCTTTCAGAGAATAAGCATAAAAACTAATCATTGCATGACCAACTTTGTTAATCCAACGATCAACCATGATTGTGCACCCTGCCTCATCCCATGACTTGCGAACCTCCTTGCAAAAGTCACCAGTTTCGGTCAAACATTTTTTTAGTAAATTTCCTCGCAAAGAATGATAAGAGGGAACTTTATATCCAGGACCAATTGCAGTTATTGCATCAACCATTTTTTGGAAGTAAAAAGAATTAACTGAGCTAAATGGTATACCAGCAATATAAAAGAATTTCGCAACAGACATATCTGCCTGTACTACGTTTTCTTGAAAAGGAAATTTAAGACTCATTTTTGTTTGAACAGGTGGTGGAACCTCACCAACAGCTGTGTTTTGAGTTCCTCTTTTTTTAGAGATCTTATCATCAACTGCTTTAGCTTTTTTATGATAATCTGAGCTTCTAGAGGCTATTTTATGGAGTATACCGTCATTTCCTTCTTCTCTAGCTTTTTGAAGAGAATTTTTTAGATCCTCGGTTATTTTCTGCTTTTTGAGTTTCTCAAGGACTTTAAAACCAAGATGTTTCTGTATATGTGTCTTGACATCATCTGGAACTTTCTCACATGGTGCTATATTACCCCTTTCCCCAGCTAAATGTTGTTTGAGGCGAGAAATTCCACCTCCCAAAATTATTTTCTGACAGTACCTACACATTATTTTCTGGCGATCCCCATTTACCATTGTGCCATGAGCCCATCCTACGTCAGTAGCTCTATGAGGGGCAGAACCCTATCAAGAATTGAAAATTACATCTATAGAGAAATGAAAGGATACAAGAGTCCAATGATAAAAGAACTTTATTTGAAATAAACAGTGGCAGGCCATTAGTAATTAAGAAGGTTCAAATAAGTATGAATAGCAAGTTGGAACCACACAATTTCATCTACTACATACTTGCTCATTGAAGGCAGGAATGGAAAAAGCATCAAAACCCTCTGCTGTCCCTGTCAATTGTTGAATACCCGGCTCTGAAGCTAGCAACCAAAATACAGAGAGAATAAAAACTTCGAAAACCTGAATATGTACATACATCCATATATACGTATGCATGTAGGTATATGTAAGGCCACCCATAGAATGTTAAGTACAATAAGAAAATATGTTATTCCATGAATCCATCAATAGGCTCAGCGTTTACAACATCTTACAACAAGAACAATCACAACTGAATTAAGATAACCAAACTTTACTCTTGATTTGCCATGTCAGTTAAACTACAACGAGCAAAACATAGAGCACGTGTCAACTATACCAGCAAGTTCAGAACCTATTATCTTCTTCGAAACATTAAAGTGTTGCACAAGTTAAAAAGGGTAACACAAGACAGGAATTTTGGATTTTAAAGGAAAATTTGTAGCTTCCTTGAAAATAATAACTATTGAACTTTAGAAGAAACAGAGATAATCATAATAGCTCCAAAAATCACAGTGAAATGTGATGGAGATAGCCAACCCTAAAATCTTGCAATTTGTCTTAAAGAAAATCAAGCATGTTATCGTATGTCTTTTCATCATTATCATTAGCCTAAACAATTATTCGGGGTCAGCCATTAAATTCATCTTCACCATTCATTCTTGTTAAGGTGCTGCATTTGGCTAAACCATTAGCGTATGGAAGTCCAATTGTGCAAAAGCTTGCCATGTTACTTTTTGTGCACTCATTTTACTTCCTATTCCTTCCATATCAGTTCTATTTCTTTACATTAGGGGAGCATATTTTACTTCCAATTGTAGAAACCAAACCCTTTGAATGATCTTATCTTCAACATGAATATAAACCTTCATTAGAAATTGAAATTGAAATTTAACAAACAATTGCATCTGAGCCTAATTGTACTTAGAAACTAAATATAATACTAAGAGTGAACTTGAGCTTCTCATAAAAACTTTTGAATATGAACTTGAGTTTTCAAAACATATTAAATCAATCCTTCAATCTGAAACTGAATAATCATACATGTTTTAGTCGATGCGTCCATCAAGCAAACTGACAAAGCAAATGATGAATGTACAAGTAAACAACTGATACCTGCTAAATACGATGAATCAATTGTTGATTTAACTATTGAAGAGACAACAACAACATCAAGCCTTTATCCCACTACGTGGGGTCGGCTACATGAATCCTTTTTCTCCATTGTGTCCTATTAAAGGTCAAATTCTTGTTTAAATCTAATAAAGAAAGGTCATTCCTAATATTTTCTAACCAAGTCTTTTTAGGTCTGTCTCTACCTTTCTTAACATAAGTCAAATCTAATACCTCTACTCTCCTAACCGGGTCATTGGAAGGCTGCCGTTTTATGTGACCAAACCATCTAAGAAGACTCTCTCTAATCTTATCTTCTACTGGAGCTACTCAAACATTTTCACGTATATGCTCATTTCGTATCCTATCTCTAAGGGTAAAGCCACTCATCCACCTGAGAATCCTCATCTCTGCCACACTTAACTTAGTATTATGCTTCTCTTTTAATGGCCAACATTCAGCACCATAAAACATTGCAGGCCTCATAACCATCTTATAGAATTTTCCCTTAAGTTTGAGGGGTACTTTTCTATCACATAACAAGCCCGATGCATTCCTCCACTTCAACCATCCAACTTGAATTCTGCTGATAATATCCCCATCTATTTCACCATCACTCTGAACAATAGATCCAAGATATCTAAAACGTGTACTCTTATTAATGACTTGATCGCCCAAAGACACAATCCCCTCACTAGGTCTATTACTACTAAAATTACACTCCATATATTCCGTTTTAGAACTACTCAAGCGAAAACCTTTAGACTCTAAGGTTGACCTCCATAATTCAAGTTTACCTTCAACTCCCTCTCTAGTCTTATCAACAAGAAGAATATCATCAGCAAAAAGCATACACCAAGGTACATCCTCTTGCAAATGTCTAGTGAGAACATCCATGACTAAAGCAAAAAGATATGGGCTTAAGGCTGATCCTTGATGTAACCCAACCGAAATAAGGAAATACTTGGTCAAACCACCTTGTGTTTGAACACAAGTAATAGCTCCTGCATACATATCTTTAATGATTTGAATATAAGCATTATTGACTCCTTTCTTTTCAAGAACTCTCCATAGCACTTCTCTTGGAACTTTATCATATGCTTTTTCTAAATCAATAAATATCATATGTAGATCCTCCTTATTTCCTCTATATTTTTCCATCAAACCTCTGAATAAATGTATGGCTTCCATAGTCGACCTACCCGGCATAAATCCAAATTGATTTTGAGAAACATTAGTATCACACCACAACCTAAAGAACGATGGCCGGGAAGAAGGTAGAAGTCTTGGAAGGAGAAATCAGACAATTGAAATCCGATTTGGAGGGAAGATTTTTCGATTTCCAAAATCAAATCACCTCCAACAATGAAAGGTTGGAGGGGAAGTTCACCGTGTTAGAAGAAATGATGAAGAAATTACTTGAAATGAAGACCAATCCGACGACATCGAAAGTAAGAGAGACCATCGATGGCCATGGAATGGGAGGAAATTCGAACCCGTTGTAGGGGAGGAGGAATTTAGAGGTGGAGATCCTGGAGGAGGAGAACGACATGCCCCCTCTAGAACCGCTTTCTAAAGAAGAGATGAGTAGGGGACACGACAAACGGGAGGCTGATTTTGTCGGAAGAAAAGAAGAATTTCATCACTCAGGTGCTGAATTTGAGAGAATCCAGCGTCGAGGTGCTGATTTTGAAGGGTAAGAGAGGAATTCCATCGCCGAGGTGCTGAATTCGAAAGAATTCAGCATCGAGGGGCTGATTTTGAAGGAAGAAGGGAGGAATTTCATCGCCGAGGTGCTGAATTCGAAAGAATTCAACGTCGAGGGGCTGATTTTGAAGGAAGAAGGGAGGAACTTCATCGTCGAGGTGCTGAATTTGAAGGAATTCAGCGTCGAGGTGATGATTTTGAAGGAAGAAGGGGAGAGTATGAAGAGGGATTCGAGTATAATCGTCAGAGGGATGATTGGGACACTTGGGGAGCTATTCCTCTTCGAGGAATAGAAGGTTATGGAGGAGTTAGGGGAAACTAGGGAGACCCACGAGTAAGGAAGCTGAAGATGCCCGTCTTTGAGGGTGAAGACGGCCATGGCTGGATTTATAAAGCGGAGCGATATTTTGTTGTCAATGGGCTGACGGAGAAGGAAAAATTGACAGAGGCGGGAATGTGCTTGGAGGGAAAAGCCTTGGCCTGGTATCAATGGAGTGATAGACGGGAGCCTATACGGAGCTGGAGGGAGTTCAAGGACTGCCTATTAGAACGTTTCCGAGCCGATGGGGAAGGAGAATTCTATGAGCAGTTCTTTGCCCTGACTCAGGAGGGGACGATGGCGGATTATCGAGATAGATTCGAGTATTTGGCTAGCCGATTGGATCACATCTCAGAGTCGGCCCTGGAGGGGAACTTCATGAAGGGGCTTAAGCCAGAGATACGAACAACAGTCAGGGTACTGGAGCCGAGGAACCTAGGGAAGGCTATGGAGCTTGCGCAGTTGGTGGAAGATCAGAATAAATCAGAAAAAGGGCCTCGAGAAAACTATTCAGGGGGATCTTATGGGACGACGACCACTCTTCTAGCACCCAAGCGGTCTGCATTAAGCAACATTAATGAGACCACCAGGGAGAAGCCAGTACGAGGGAGTGGGAAAAATTTCAAGAGGCTGGCAGAGAAGGAGATGCAGGATAAGAGGACAAAGGGGTTGTGCTTCAGATGTGATGAGAAGTACATGCCGGAGCATAGGTGCAAGGATCGAACTCTTCAAGTTCTTCTTGTCTGAGGAGGGAGGTGGGAGCAGATCTGAAGAGGAGGGGAAGCTGCACCTGGATGTGGCAGATGTCTCTCTGAACTCTGTAGTGGGATTCACTCCGAGTCACACTATGAAAGTGAAAGGAGAGATAGCTGACCATGAGGTGGTGGTGCTAATTGATAGTGGGGCTACCCACAATTTCATTTGCACTCAAGTCGTCAACCAACTGGGAGTAAAATTGATGGACACCGGTTGTTATGGGGTGATGATGGGTACAGCGAAGGTGGAGAAAGATCAGGGAATCTGTAAATGAGTGGTGTTGACCATCCAGGGGATTCAAGTAAGGGAGGACTTTCTCCCACTAGAATTAGGAAGCACTGATGTAAGCATTATTGACTCCTTTCTTTTCAAGAACTCTTCATAGCACTTCTCTTGGAACTTTATCATATGCTTTTTCTAAATCAATAAATATCATATGTAGATCCTCCTTATTTTCTCTATATTTCTCCATCAAACCTCTTAATAAATGTATGGCTTCCATAGTCGACCTACCCGGCATGAATCCAAATTGATTTTGAGAAACATTAGTATCACGCCGCAACCTATGCTCTATAACTCGCTCCCATAGTTTTAAAGTATGACACATTAACTTAATACCTCTATAATTCGCACAATCTTGTGCATTCCTTTATTCTTAAAAATAGGAATTAACACACTCATTCTCCACTCATCTGGCATCTTTTTAGTCTTCAAAATAGTATTAAAAAGTTTAGTAAGCCAAGAAATTCCTTCATCTCCTAAGCATTTCCACACCTCTATTGGAATATCATCAGGTCCAACAGCTTTTCCACCCTTCATTCTCTTTAAAGCCTCTCTAACTTCAGTTTTACTAATACGCCGATAAAAACATAAATCTTTATTTTCATTTAGGGTGGTAAGGTCACTATAGTCAATCTTATTTTCACAATCTTCATTAAAACGTTTAGCAAAATATCTCATCCACCTTTGTTGAATATCATCTTCTAAGAAAAGTATTTTTTGATCTTCATCCTTAATACACTTCACTTGAACTAAATCCTTACTACTCCTATCTCTTTGCTTGGCTAACTTATACATATATCTTTCTCCCTCCTTAGTATCTAATCTATTATATAAATCACTAAAAGCTAAGGTCTCTGCATTGCATATTACTTTTTTAGATTCCTTACGAGTTTCTTTATATCTTTCCCAATTATCAGAATTTTTAAAATTAAACCAATTTTTATAACAAATTTTCTTATTCTTAATCCTTTCTTGCACATTTGGATTCCACCACCAACTATTTTTATTATTAGGAGTTTTTCCCTTTGAAACTCCAAGCACATCTTTTGCATTATTCTTAATATCACTAGCCACTTTTTCCCACATAACATTAGCATCCTCATGCACAGATAAAATCTTAAGATCTAAAATCTTACTTTCAAAAATATTTTGGTTGATTTAACTATTGAAAAGAATTCTAATGAAATTATTTCAATTAATCAAGCAGAAATTTATGTTGTTTTCAATTCCTGGTTTCTAAACTTACAAATTTTTATACAAAATCTTATCAAGAAAGTGATGTTGCATGATTATTTCAATGAATTTGCAAGTGAGGTGTGCCTTGATAAGAACTCGCTATCTCGATGAATCTAAGAGTGTATAATCATTACCACTAATATCTAAATTATTTGATTTAGCTTTCTTTAGCTAGGTTGTTCAACCAAATAGATATTTCATATGTGTGATTTTCCTATTTTCAATTTTCTATCATCTCATCATCTAGGAATATATTATAAATTATTATCAAGTAGGGCACATGTTGGAATTTTAAAATTTTCATTACTTGCTTATCACTTGTATGATTAGCATAATTTATTTGATTTACATGAAGATAACACAGAAAATTAACTATTAATTATGATACCTATAAGTCTATTGTTGATGTAAAATAAGAGAGATGTGAAATACAAACTAGGTGATAAAATAATTATACGTCCAAATCTTAAAATTTTGGTTATTGCCTATTGGGACCTTAAAAAATTAATTGCATTAAAAATGCAATCCTATAAAATCATGTTTGGGATAAATATTTATAAAATGAAACTTTTGAGAAACTATAACATTATTTTAGATTTCAATGTGTGTATCTTGACTATATTTCATGAATCTACTACCAACGTCATGGATTCTTCTCTCTTGCTATCTCCTCATGAATTTACATCAAATACATTACTTCATGTTGTTCTAAAAGCTGTCAACTTTGTAGGGAATGTGTCCATTACATGTGGATATTAAATATTTCTCGAGCATTAGGATGACATATTTATTTGTTGAGATTCATGTATTACCTTGCTGGAAGCACAACAATTATGCCCAGCCTTACCTGATGAATATAAAATGCTTAATTAATCAGAGCTAAATTGTTTCAAGTTAAGCAGATTTAATAAAAATCTAAAAGTGTATGCTGCTTGACGAATAAAAAGTGAGAACATTGAGATGAGTATTATGCCTTTGAGTTTTATTTTCTTGTTAAAAACATATATGATGAAGATACGATAGTGAATCAGATGTATTCTTTGATCTTCTGACTACCACTTCAAGTTTGGTTTACTATTGCAATTTATTTGATTCAACTCTCATATGCCCCTGATCACTTATTTTCAATTCTTTACTCTGCAAAAGTCTTATTGTTCACATTGCAAATGGTATCCATCTCTTTGACTTTGACCTGCTATCTATATCTCAACAATGTAGATTGGAGTGAGATCTATTGATTTGCAGTGGTAATACAATGGTTGGAACGTTTTATAATTTTTAAATGACATTTGGCAAGTTTAACCTATGTAAAATGCATGTAATACAATCGTTATTTTGATTCCGTCAACACCTGAGCAAATCGTATGACTTATGTACTACTATAGACTTCACAAAAGGTTTTCTTCTAAGCCAAGAATATATTGGCAATACTCAAACCTAATGTTTCGCTAAAATGATTTGAAAACTTGTCATGCTTGTTAGAATCTAAGTGTGTTGAATCGACACTAGTAGTATTTGACTATATCATAAATGGATAAGATGAACTACTTATTTTGGGCTTTTAGGCAATAAGGACCCTTAAGGCATGCAAAAAAGCTATCGAATTTTGAATAGTGAAATAATGTATGTTGTTGGATTTGGATTCTTTGATGATTGCATAGCTCTTGACAATTACTTCCAGGTGACAAATCTTCTTGTATCAGCATGAAAATTGGATCTCACTTAGCGACTTCTTCTTCTAAATTATTCAGTATTGGTGTGTGTGCAGCATTAACATTTTCCCAAGTTTGATACATACTAGTTTCCTTTTTTGGAGTGTGAATCTTAATCACAACAAAACTTTATATTTGTTCTCAAATTTCTAGTGAAATTACATATATTAGCAATTTCTAAATTACATTTGGAATGAATAAAGCGTATGTTTTGATTCATATCAAAAGTGACAAATCTTTTTTAAAATTAAAAGTTAGGAATATCTAAATTGTGACTTTTTATGTGTTTCTTTACACATGATATCCTAGTATTGCATTAGTAAACCCAAGACCCTAAGGTGTCTTATATCTAGTCACTAAATGAGGCCAAGATGCTCTTCCTGACAGTAAGTAGATGTATAGACTCAGTTACAACATTACCTAGTTAGATAAAACCCCAAAAATAATAATCTGCAAAGCACTTGGTGCTTATCTCCAAAAGGTTATAAAGAGTCAACTAAGCAAAGCTATGTAAATCACTCTCCACATTGACTAATTAGCAAGTCAACAAAGCAAAGCTAAGTAAATCACACCCCACATTGACTAATTAGCTCTACAAACCAACTAATATCCAGCTAAAATCTAAAATGTTCAACTTGATAGAGATTGGGACTTGGGAGCACAAGTACCAAAAGTTAAATAAAAAAGAGTTGGAAAAGGACATATAGCACCTTGATACAAATTCCCCTGCATGCAACAAAACATGCCACTTGACAAGGTTAGGAGCATTCCATTATCGCCAGAAGCACACAACGGCGGTGGGGGAACAAAGCATATAAAAGGAAAATGACCAACTTTGTGACCCTTTTATTGTGTGGAAAGATAGATATCTTCTTGAAAAATCGATAATGCATCCCAAAGCTAAACATGGCTAAAAGGCCTAAAGCTCTCCTGTATAAAAGAGCTCATCCGATGTGAAAAGTGGATATAAGATGTAAGCCCTTTAGAGACAAACAACAAAGAAGTTTGATAAAAAAATAGTGAAATCTTTTATCCTTGTTCCTCTGCAAGTAGATTGTTCTTGAGTTGTGCAACTCCAACCTCAATATAACTACATTGTTTATATATATATATATATACCCTTAAATTCAAACTTAACCATCCTTCTTCCTATGAATATAGTTTATTGATCACATTGAACTTAATTTGAATGTGAACAAGTACCATCAAAGAATATAAATAATTCAATGGATACATTGAGAGAAGTAAAAAATAATAAAAAAGAAACTAACAAAAAAGATTTGATCAAAAATAAAATGAATTTATTGTTCGATAAAAAAATAAGAACTCTAGACGAATGCAGACGGATCATGGATCTAGTATTGTCATAAAACCATAAAAAACAAAAAAAAATCCAGCAAATTAAAGTACAAAGCATGACACAATACATGCTTGTAGAAATAAGAAAATCAAGCATTACTTAAAATTCTCTTGAATGAAAAATGGGCTTCTTCAGCATGCAAGGTAAGATATTTTTGTACAAGAAGAACCAAAAATGATTTATATTTGTACCTGTTGTGACCATATCACCAATGCCCGACAAATCATGCCTTACATTGATAAATGCACCACTTGCATTTGGATCAATAGCATGATCTCCTGAAGTAGGCACAATGGAACATCCCACAATTGCTCTTTTTCTCTTCTTTTCTGCTCCTTTCTTTGGTTTTAGAATTGTTAGTTGCTTTCTTATCATATCTCGAACGTCTCTGGGGACAGCATCACAACCCTTAATCTCCCCCTTTTTGCTTGCCAAGTGTTTCTTGAATCGAGTTATGCCTCCAATCATAATTCTATGACAATAATTACACTGTACATGATGACGTTTCCCCCCAATCATTGTGCCATGTTGCCATCCTATATCTGGATGACGTGGCATTCTGCTTAAGTTTAGAGTATTAGGTTCTTGACGTGAGAATAGAATCACACAATAGTGTATTAGAAAAACAAGTAAAAAAGTAATGAAAAATAAAAAATAAAAAAATAAAAAATAAATTAAAAAAAAAGTAAAAAAGTAATAAATCGGCCACTTGCAGGTCTATGTTGACTTTGAGAGCATATACCATGCATATATAAGAGATTAAAGATAAACTTCTACCAGTTGATTTTGTAATCTATATTTCACGCTGCATAGTCTCTTTGATTAAGTCTCATCCCTCGGAAGCCTTTTGTTGAAAATTCAGAAAAGCAAGTCCTCTAAAATATGAAGTTATTCCTATTTCACAAAGCATGCGTTTAAGCTAGAAGGTAAAATTGGTTACTTTTACTTGACATGATAAAACAAAGCGTGTTTAGAGTTCAAAACTAGTTGCCCAATTAATTATCTAGAACATGGAACTTAAAAGCATTTCTTAACCTGAATTTTTGGGCCATTTTTGTTTTGTTTAATTCACACTTGTAATCTGATCATCTTACATGCAAGGAGGTAAGCCAGAATGTGAAGTTATTCGCAAGCTTCATTTTATGACCTTGTTTTTTTAGCCAATGGTTACTAAAGTTCACATTATGTAAATTTGCACCCTCTCAAGACCAACAAAATCTGAATCTTGCTTCTGAAATAATTTATTCTATTAATTTTGTCTTATAATATGCTTCAGATCACAGAATTTCAAAAATATACTTTCCTTTTAATCATTGGTATTTTGGAAAACATGAAACATGCATACCTACCTATCCCCAATGTTTCATTTTGCATAGATTCATTTCTCAAATAAGGCATTTTCCAAGAAGCTTCCTGACCTCAGCATTTCATGCCAAAATTTGATTTGTCTAAGAGATGACAACTGGAAGTTTCATGACCAGGTGTCAAGCACATTGTTTAAAATTATGCAATATGAAGCCCACCTCAATGCAATTCTATTGCAAAACAGCTTACGCCTCGAGTCTTTTTTATGATGGTTGCACCTTAGCTTAGCTAAGGTGCACCTCGCCTTACTGGCATGAGTATATTTTTTTATTAAAACTTACATAAAGAAAAAAATCAAACAACCCTTACATGACCATAGAAATACACTTAGCATTTTGTCCATCTTTCTATAGCAGAAACCTGCTTTTTTGCACGACACAGCATTACTAAACTAATGCCTTCAATATATTTGGATATATAAGAGAGAAAATATACCTAAAAGCAACACTCTCTCCATTGATAATGAGGGTTTCGCACACCTGTGGTATGAAAACAGGATAAAAAACCCACCACTTTCCTGGATGGTTCCCCTAGGCTCTAAACGATGATTACTAATGCAAACCTATGTTTCCCCTAGGCTCTAAACGATGACTACTAATGCAAACCTTTATTACTCAACAAAGTGATATAAAAATGGCGAAGAACAAGCGATTCCAATCAGAGAATAACAAATTTTTGAGAAAATCACCCCTCAAAGCATTTAAAAATGGTACCCAATCAGCCAAGCAACCAAATTACCAACTTCAAGTAGGGCTATCAAAAAATTTTGTTGTATGTGTTGAATCATATTTAACTCCATAATTAGTCTGTTTCAACTATTTTTTTTAAGCATAATTATTAACAAGCAAACAAGAACAATCAAACGATGATACAATAAAATGTATTTCTATCTTGTTCGATCATGTTCGAATGCTTATATATCCATAACAATATGCACTTTTATACATATGTGCATGGATATTTATATGTGTTTCTTTGTACAAGCATACATACATACATATCTATATTTAGTTATGAAATATATTCCATAAATTAAATATAACTTTCAAGCAGATTGTATGTTATTGCACAGCTTGTGTTCCACTCCATAATGGAACAAGCCCAACATAAACAGATAATATTATTTCGTTAAGCTAAGGACGAACAACCCTTCAACTCGCTCAAGCTCAACTCACTTACACTCCCGAACCACAATCCAATTTGAGTCCAGCACGCTCCTCATTATCAGTTTCCGATTGCAAATCAAACGATGACACTTTTCAGAAGCGCACCAACTTAGAACCAAATCTATCCATCAAAAACAAAAGAGAACTGATTTTCAAATAGCTGATTCAAAGAGTAGAAATGGTTACAGTGCAATAAACAACAGACAGGTCGGAGATCGACGACGGCCGACAAATCGGTCGGCGTTATTGAAATGGAGACGGATGTGGTGACGATCTACGGCGTGCCGGGAGAATTGTTCGTGCCGGCGTGTCGGCCGAAAAGTTTCGGCTACACGATACCGGCGAAAGGGCGAAGCGCGTTCCGTATCGGGGAAAAGAGTTTTGACAGCTTTTAGCTGCACACGTGCCGTTTCCGTTTCGGGTTTTGGTGTGATTATGCAAAAGTCGGGATCGGGTATGATCTCTTTACAATCCTAATTACAATTATGAACAATTAGCTTACCAATCTCATACAAATTATTTTGGGGCTGTTTGATATAGGATTCATATTCGGATTTACGCCAAATTTATGCTAAATCCTGCCAAACAATTTTGGAGCGCCGCGTAAATCTCAATCTCGCGTAACTCCCAAATTTATGAATTTACGGCTTAAATTCGGGATTTAGTTGTTGTGAACTGGAACATTCGTAGCAGTAGAAAGATAAATAGCTTAATGTCTTAATTCTGAATGAAGATCTAACACATAAATATATAAAAGAGAGAGGGGTGCGATAGTCATTAGAGACATCAAGGTATTGACATGGAAAATCCTGAAAAGTTGAAAAATTACGGGATCTGACCCTGTTACAATGATTTCATTATTGTTTGTAGTTGATTACAAATGATGCACTTCAATGGGGGGAAGACATTAGCTCAATGTATCATATAGAACGCATTACATGGTTGGGATTGGAAGAATCCAATGATAAGGGAGTCATTCTCAAGAGAATATTGGCATGCCCATTTGGTTGGCAGGGGTGTATTTTGGCAATAGAGATCAGAGGGACTATAATTGGCATGTGACGAAGGTCAGAGAGATCGTTGTTGGCAAGCAACGATGGCAACGATGGTCGGAGGAACTGTAATTGATGGGTGATGGTGGGTAGAGGAATGTCAACGAGTGATAGAGGTAGGAAGGACTGTAGTCGACAGGAGATGGTGGTCGAAGGAATCGTAGTCAGTGGGCAATAAAAGTCAAAGGAGTTGTAGTTGACAGTCAACAGAGGTTGGAGAGGTTGTAGTCAGTGTAGGAGACGATGATCAAAGGGACCATAGTCAATCGGGGATGGTGGTCAGAGGGATCTAAACATCCCCCTTAGGGGTGGGAGGAACAAGCATGGTTCTTCTAAGCCGGCTCAAAAAAATTTCATGTAAATTGAGATAGAAATGGATTGGAAATATTTTAGAGACTATCAATCTCTAATAAAGGCTCAGTCCTCTGCGCAGGTTCTAGTCTTCTTCTAAAATAGTGGAGAAGATTGTCCCGAAGGAGTCTAAAGACCTTCAATCTCTAGTAAAGGCTCGGTCCTTTGTGCAGGCTCCAGTCTTCCTCTATAATAATGGTGAAGATTGTCCTGGTGGAGTCTAAAGACCATCAATCTCCAATAAAGGCCCAATCCTGTGCTCAGGCTCCAGTCTTCCTTCGTAATAGGGGTAAAGATTATTCTGGAGGAGTCTAAAGAATGTCAATATCCAAAAAATGTCTGGTCCTCTATGCAGGCTCTGTTCTTCCTCTGTAACATAAGTGAAGACTATCTTGTAGAACTTTAAAGATGGTTAATCTCTTGTAAAGGCTCAATCCTCTGTGCACGCTCTTGTCTTTTTCCAAATAGGGGTGAAAACTATCACAGAGGAGTCAAAAGATCTTCAATCTATGGTAAAGGCTCGATCCTCTACGCAAGCTCTAGTCTTCCTCCATAATGGAGGTAAAGACTATCCTGGAGGAGTCTATAGACTGTCAATCTCTGGTAAAGGCACGATCCTCTGCACAGGATCTAATTTTCTCTCTAATAGGGGCGAAGACTGCCTGGAGATTTCTAAAGGTCGTCGATCTTCAATAAAGGCTCAATCTTCATCTAAAGATTGTCCTAAAGGAGTTTCAAAACCATCAATAATGATAAAAATCTGGTCCTCCAATGTGGGCTCTAGACTCCTTTGAAGATTGTCTTGAAGATGTTGTAAGACCGTCAATAGCAATAAAGGCCTAGTCCTCTGATGTGGGTTTAATTTCTTCCTCGATGGGGGAAAATTGTCTAATAAGAGTATAAAGACAACCAATAATGATCAGATCAGAACCTAGTCATCTTGCACAAGAAACTACCAATATATGTTGATTGTGGATGTTGGAGGATGTGTCGTTGATGAAAATTAAGCAACAAGCTGATGATGCCTATAAGGAAGTGAAGGGCTGATAATGATGGTTGAGAGGCAAAGGGATAATAAAGGTGGTGGTCAAGTTGTATTCTATTTAAAGAAGTAGGCATCCATGTTGCAGGGGGTGGATAATGAATAACCCAACAAAAGGGATCAGGGAGTATACTGACAACAATAATATAATGGCATACTGATGATGCCAATTATATAGATGCTTGATGGAGGCGGGGCTCTAATCTTTCCTTGAAGAATGGGTTAAAGAGAGATGCTTCAAAGTGTTATCTGAAGAAGGTCAAGGGGAGCCCACCAAAGGTGTTTGGCCTATCTAGGATTGCTTGCCAAAGCATTCCTTGATGGTGTTAACTTACATATAAGAGGCTAGGAAAACTCCACAAAAATTATTTGACCTATCTGAGGTTGTTTGTTAGAGCATTGTTCGATGACATTAACCAATATAGAAGATATCGAATGAGATTCACAAGGGATGTTTGACCTATCTGAGGTTATTTTTTAAAACATTGCTTTGAGGCGTTAACATGCATGGAGGAGGTCGAGAAAATCCATTAAGAATGTTTGACATATCCAAGATTATTTGTTAGAGAATTACTCGATGACATTAACTTGTGTGGAAGAGATCAAGATAAATTTATTAAATACATATCCAAGATTTTTTTCCAAAGCATTACTTGACGAATCTGACCTATATGGAATGGGCCGAGGGAATCCACTAAGGATGTTGACCTATTTGAGGTTATTTTTAGAGCATTACTTAATGATGTTAACATTTATGGAAAAGGTCAAATCAAATCCTCCTGGGATCAATTATGCCTTGATTAGGAGGTGGAGAATGCCACGTGTATCATGAATCAAAGGTGAAAAAATATTTATCTTTAAATTGTTACTGGCATTTTTTAGATCGATAAGGAGTAGAAGTTCAACTAGGAATTGTATAGAGTTTAGAACTCATTTAAAGCTTGAGAAGCTTTATGATAGATAATTGCTTGCAAGATTATTTTTTTATACAAAAAAAAAAATATTTGAAGGATATGCTTAACTAAAACTATATTTGAGATTGCAACCAAGATTGCCCCCACTAAAAATCTGGTTAAAATTAATGTTTCAATGGCTATTGGTTGAGTGATGAAAGAACACATGTACGTTAGTTGTTGTAGTGATGTTTCTCTCAATAATGAATTACTTCTATAGGACCCAATAATAAGCCATGGTAAAGGGACTATCTCGCTTCAACAATACATAGGATATTGACGTGAATGATCTTTTGAGGTTGGAGCAAAAGTTATCCCCAGCTAGGAATCATTTCACATATAATTTATGTATTGATAGTTGATATTTGACGGGAGATAATGTATAATTTCTTCACTTTGAGGTTGCCCTTTATATTAAAGAACTTCTTATGAACATGATAATAGATCTTGATAAGGGGACTAGCATGCTTCAACCATGCCAAGGACATTGATGTGAATGACTTTTCAAGATTGCAGCAAAGGTTGCCCCCAAGCTAAGGATTATTTCTCAAAGATGGTGTCAAACTGTTGCAAAATGGAACCTTCACATCATTAGAGAGATAATGAGCTTAATTTCTTAGCTTTGAATGAAAATCCAACACACATATAGATAAAGAGAGGGAGGTGTGTGAGCCATAACTGATACCAAGATTTTTACATGAAAAACTCTAAAAAGGGCAAAAAACTATAGGGACAGGCCATGTTAAAATGATTTTACTAATGTTTATAGCCGATTACAAATGGTACTGGATTTTTACAGGGGGGAAGGCATTCGCTCAATGTAACATACAAAGCACATTATATAATTGGGTTGAAAGAATCTAATGATAAGGGAGACATTCTCAAGAGAATATTGGCCTTTTATTTGGTTCGGAAGATTGTTTTTGGGCAATAGAAATTAGAAGGGATGTAATAGGCGGGTGATAGGGGTCAAAGGGATCATAATCGATAGGTGATGGTGGTCGGAGGAACTATAATCGGTGGGTGATGGTGGTCGAAGGTACCATAATCCACAGGTGATGGAGGTCAGAGGGATGATAGTCGGAGAGACAGTGATTAGAGTAACTATAGTTGAAGGAAAATGAAAGTCGGATGAGCTATATTCAGTGGGTGATGGAGGTCAGAGAGGCGATAGTCAGTTAGTGGGAGATGATGATCAAAGGTAACATAGTTGATTGGGGATGGTGGTCGGAGGGACTGTAGTCAACCGGCAATAAATGTCAGAGGGAACGTAGTTAGCAGATGATGGAGGTTAGAGGGATCGTAATTGGATGATAGTGGTCAGATGGACTGATCGTAATTAGTGATGATGAATGATGGAGGGACCATAATCGGTGAGAGATAATTTTTAGAAGGACCATAGTTAGTGGGTGATGATAATCATAGGAACCATAATGGGTCGGTGATGAAAGTTAGAGGGGCCATAGTCGAAAAGCGACGGAGTTCGGAGAAATCGTAGTCGATGATAGATGGTGATTATAGGGACCAAAGTTGACATAAACTAGAGGTTGGAGGGGCAACGGAGGTCGGAGGCACCGTAGTTGGTAGGTAATGATGGCCAGAGGGACCATAGTTGGCAGATGATCGTGGTCAGAGGGATCGTATTTAACGAGCGACAATGTTCTTAGGGCTTGTAGTCAGCAAGCAGTCGAGGTTGTTGGTCTAGCGGTTGCCTAATGATGGTTGAAAGAAATTTCAGTTGTGGTGTACAGAAAGAGGTAGTTCAATGAAGATTATCATCTGGGTGGTGGTCCAGAGATGGTCGGGCAGTGTTACATCAATGATGGATTGCTAGGTGATAGCCTGATAATGGTCAGTAGTCGGGTAGTGGTTTGATGATAGTCGATGGCTATGTGGTAGTTTGGTAGTGTTTCTCGATCGGTCGGTGGTTCTATAATGGTCGGGCGGAAGTCTTGTGGTCATTGATGGTCTATTAGTAGTCAAGCAGTGATTGGTGGTTGGGTAGTGGTCCAA